AGCCTCCAGTTTCCTCTTCCTTTTTCCCTTCCCCCAGCCCTGGGAGTTTGTGGGAGTTGCAGTCCAATCTCTCAGTGAGCACAGCCCCTGGTTCCTCCTGTGGACACACATTACACTCACACTGCACTGGAATATTTGTGCGCGCCCAAAGCACTCGACCAGAGACAACTTGGCTGGGGTTGGCCCTTTTTTTGTCCCCACTTTGATTTTCAGATCATGCAGAAATGGGAACGTGGATGCTCTTTCCCAGCAAGTGGAATATGATGCTAACATGGCACAGGGACCACTGGAACCTAGCCCTTTTTGAAGCCCCATGACATCTTCGCACCTCCGTGCCAATGGCTCTGCTGTCTCAGCCACCACCTGGGAAGAAGTTCCTCTTGAAGAGCAGGCTGCCTTCACGTGACCATTGCCTGATGGCCAGGATGGGCTTCTTTTCACACAGGGTAGGATTCACATGCCCCCAGCTCCAGCCAGACTCATGGTACTATGTTTATGCCATGATCCCCTGGATGGTGGCAGGTTGACTAAGATGGTGCACTGCATCCCATGTGTAAGTCTTCCCTCAGCCAAGGGCACTGTCCAACTGTGGGTGGGTGCACCACGTAGTTCACACCCACAGCCTTCGAAGTAGCAGAACCTGCAACTATGGCTCCTGGTTTTGGCACAAGGTTTTGGGTTCGGGACCTAGCTTTATTCAGTACATCACCCACACATGAACAGCCAAGTAGGTAATGGAGGCAGGGGTTGCAGATGGCATGCTTCCCACTCTGCCATCCCAGCAAATCTGGAGCTGTGCTGGAGGGGGGATGACACAGTAGGGGCTCCTGATGTGGGGAGCAAAAGCCCTCCACCCTCTTGTCCAGGAACCCCTAAGGACTTCTGCACCCAGGGATATGAGAGGGCTTCTCTGGTCTCCAATCTACTTCCCAGAGCCAGAGCAACAAGTGGGGTATTCACACAGGGAGGACCAAATGGCACACTGCGCTCCACGATGCGTGGTAGGCAAGCCCCTTTCCTACCCTGCACCCCACCCTCACCAATCACCCCCCAAAAGGGGCCAGCCACCTGACACCCCCTGCAGCAGACCACCCACCACAACACGGGCAGCTCACCCCCAGGTTCCCCTGCACCCAGGAGCAGGGGGGCAGTGGGGAAAACACCAACGCCCCACTATCACTACATGGCCCAAAAGGGGGAACCCCCACAGTGCTGCCCATCAGATCACACCATGTTCCCATGCACAATGAGGACCAGTGGGTAATTACCCTCCCAGCAGAGACCCAAAATCTGTTATGCATTTTTCCCCATTGTTCCTGGAGGGGAGAGGGGTGGAGGCTCTGAAGCATACAAGGCTGGGTGGGGAAACTCTCTCGGAAAAAATGATCAAGGAACTGAACAAACAGGTAGGGTTGGACGAGCTGACTGAAGAAATGAAAAGGACAGAAAAGGAGGATAGAGAAAGGGAGAGCCAGAACTCCCAAGGGGGGAACCTGGGTAGTACCCCAGAAGAGGAGGAAGGAAGTGATAGAAAGGGGTAGTTAGGATTTCAGTTCCTTTGACACACTCTCTCACCGATACACATTTCCGCCAGCCTCTTCCGCCCCTTAGAAATTCAGCAGGTAACTGGCCCATTCAAAGTGTGTCAAGCAAACTCTCATTCCCTCCTTTCTTTCTGTGGCCACCTCCAGCCAGATAAAGCAGCCCTCCTGCCAGAAAACTGAGGCTCATTCAGAAATCACAAGGTTTTCTTGAAGGCTGTAATACAGGGAAAGGGAGGAAACAATTTAATACACTGCGGGGTATCAGCAGAAAGGACAGCTAAGGAAATGAATTAGTGTGCTCCAGAGTGAGTATTTAATCTCTTGGAGTAGACCCCGCAGGACACTCCTGGAGCCAAATGGCTCTGGCACGAGCAGGGAAGCCTCAGTATTCCCAATGGGAGTTTACGTGCTGCGTTTCACCCACAGGACACATTCATACTTCTCCACCCTTGCACCAAAGAGGCATGACCTGTCACACGCTGCACCTCCTTTACCCCAGCTATCAGATTTAACCAAGAAAAGATACTCTACTTTCCAAGGCCACGGTTTTATTCAAAAGGGCAGGGTTGTTGCTGCACAGCAGGACACTGGTGTAATGCCTCAAGTGTGACCAGTTCCTGCTCCTGAAGGTTTGGGAAAACACCTGGATTGAGGGGAATTCTCTGGCAGGGGAAGGGGTTGGGAAATCACAGAGGCATCACCCCCCTGAAGGGTCTGGGCTCTGGTCTGTTCCCATTTCACAGAACTGGAGAGGACATAGATACCAACCACTGGCATATCCTCTTAAGTTGCGGGGCTTGATTAGCAAGGACCCTGCTATGGAAAATGGGATGAAGGGAAGGAGGGCAAAGTTGGGGGGGAGGGTGGGATGCTGGTGCCGGGTGATGCAGAGTTCTGACGAGGGGCTAAGCAGCAAAACCTGCCAAACTGGGCTCAGGGGGCGGCAGTGGGAGCTTGCACACGGGATGGGCATGTGCAGGCCTGGGAGAGGTGTGACGTGATGATGAGGAAAGGCGAGGTCAAGGTGGAAGGCAGGGAACTGCTTCGCCAGCAATGTGCCCCCTTCCTGCAACTCAAGAGCCTCACATACTAGGACCCTGGGACCAGGAGTGAGGACAAAGCTGCAAGTTAGCTGAAGACAGTCCCTGGGTGTCAGCTGGAGCCAGCTGTCTTTGGGTGGCCACTCTACTGTGAAGGCACTTCTCCCCCTGGGAGTACTGACTGCTTTCAGAAAATGATGGGGATGGCACAGGCTTCAAGGCAAGGCTCATCATCTCACAGGTTCCCCCAGCATCCGTGCTGGCCTCTGCCTGAGGAGTTTCTTTCCAACCCTTCCCCTCAAACTTTGGGGGCTAGCCTCTATGTCATTTGGGTTGTGCAGTGCCCTAGAAGGGCCAAACGATAGGTGAACTATGGTTGCAATCCACAGGCATGAGTCCGCTTGCCTGGATGCAGACACTGGGGGGTGCTGAGCAGGTAACCATCCCCAAATCCTTCCTGCATTGCTGGCAAAATTATGGATCCTCCTGGAAGTGGAGGCACTCTTGCTGGGCCAGTTTTGAGGAGTGGGGGAAGCTCTTTCCATACTGCGAGCACCAATGTGGCTTTTCTTCTGTGTGGCTGAGCTGATGTCAAGCCAGGTGCCAGAACTGGGGGAAGCTATTCCCACTCTGAGCACCAATGTGGCTTCTCCTACATGTGGATGAGCCGGTGTTTGGTCAGGTTGAAGGTGTGAAGGAATCCTCTGCTCTTTCTCTGTCCTCAGGCCTGAGACCTCCCATCCCCCTCCTCGTGCTGCAGAGGCCCATCATTTCAGGTCCCCACCGAGGTCCCTGCTGGGCCTGTTCGGGGAGGCTGGGCCCTCCACCTGGGGATTCTGATGCCTTTCGAAAAGATTGGTGTCTCAGCTGGGTTTCAATATTTCCTGCTTCTGGTTGGAGCCAGGTGATGGGATCAAAAATGGTATTTAAGGGTCAGGTCACTTGGTCTAGGTGAGGACTGCTTCTGGAGAGACATTTTTGGAAACACCAACTGAAGCATGGGCCTCCAGAACCCTCTGGATGGACATACAGATAGCTTTCCTGAAATGTAGCCAGTAAATCAGAGCAGGCGTTCCAAGGGCCCGGGCCGTGAAGGGTTGGCTACTGGTCTGCAGGAGGGCTGGCTGCCAGACCAGAAGCGACTGCACACTGGCAAACTGCGGACTGGAAGTGACCCACATACTGTGCACCGGCAGCCCCCCTTTTTTATACTGTACGCGGGATAA